TTCTTCCTAGGGTTTCTGGTGTGACCCTTAACCCTTTTTTCAGATATACTACAGCTATTGATATGTGGTCCTTTGGTTGCATAGTTGCAGAGTTGTTTCTTGGGTTGCCATTGTTTCCAGGAGCTTCTGAGTTTGATCTATTGAGGCGAATGATTGACATTCTTGGGTATGTATCTTTTAAAATCTTCCCCTTTTGTCGAAAGCAAAAACTTTGATCCAGAGAGTGAAATGAGAAGTTTATGTTCCTTTTCATTATTTGAATGAGAAGTTTGTTTTTTGTTTAAAAAAAAAAGAATGAAATGAAGAAAGGCTCAGAGACCTGCAAAATCTTTTATCCAACTGGGACGAATATAGGAAACAAAGAAGATATATGTATGTATGCATATTTTTTTTAACAAGAAACAGTTTCATTGATATATGAAAAGAAGAAAAAGTTCAAGAATACAAACTCCCGTAGGAGTGAGAGAAAAAAGAAAAGATGAAAGCAAAATATAGGCTCGACAAGGAGCAAAACAATTGGCAGCTACAGACACATTAGTTTCCCAAATATTCTTCACTTATCACTAAGTAAATTTTCTACCTCCCCCAACTACATCTTTAAAAGCATGACTTAATGGCATCGAGCCACAAAATAATACCTCAAAGCATGCTTTAACATAATAGCATTGAACCACAGAATAAAATATTTCCTCTCCCTTTAAGCATGAAGCTACTAAAAGTTGGAACTTGGAAGAGAAGACCAGATTAGATGCAAAGGTGTTTAATATCCATCCACCAGCTTAATTTAGTAAGGTTGCACTCTAGGAAATAGTAACTCGAACCTTCATTAGATCTTTGGCATAGCACACACCACGGTGACGTGCATATCTATGCCATCTCTTCTGGACTTCATTAAAATACTAATGCCTTTCAAAAAACAGTATCGATGGAAAAACCATGATTATCTTAGGGTATTTGTCTTTCCAAACTCTGTTACAGAACTCAGAGAAATGACTAGTTTCTATTGGAGAAATGCTATGAAATATGGACTTAATAGAGAAAGAATCTATCTCATTCTGAAGCTAGAGTTTCAATATCCTTGTTAGAAGAGGCAAGTCTATCAGCCACCAAAACCATGAGCAACCGCTCCTGCAACTCTTCACTGAAGTTCCTTTTGAAATTGAGCATCCGACCCATTTCCTCCTTCCCGACCCTGAATTTTGGATCAATGTGCTTCCATCAAGGTCATATGACTTAGTAAAGAAAAGGGAGAATTGCAAAAACCAACCTTGAAATAGGTTTTTTTTTTAATTTTTATATAAAAAATACGAACTTTTCAGTGATGAAATGAAAAGGAACAAAAATTGTTCAAGGATACGAACTCTCGAAAGAGTGAAAGGAAAACAAAAAAAACCATAAAGATACGCAAACAGGAACTAAAAATAAATCTACTCAGGCCTAATAAAAGCATCCCAATTGTTAAAAATAAGAGGATGGGAGTAATGGGAGAATGACTCAGAAAGAGAACACTAGTGAGATGCTTTGAACTTGGCTGATGTGAGGCAATTGAACAAAGATATTTGTTTATTCTTTAAGATCTACATATTCCTCTGAGACCAGATTTCTAGAAGAGCTCTCAAACCAGATTTCTAAAAGAAGACTCTTCACTGCTTTAAGCCATAAAAGTCGAGCCATGGGTGATCAATGTGCGAGTCCACAAAGAAGTTGAGTCAAATTGGCTTCAGCCTTCAAATCAAAAGCCCAATCGATTTTGAACTCTCCAAAGAGAGAGAACCATCCTTGAGTTCCAAAAGAACATTGGAAGAAGAGATGATCAGTGTCTTCCCCGCTTGAAGTAGGGGTTGTTACAACCACTCGTTCGAACTTTGAATTTGATTAATCATGTTGGGGTTAAACCCTTAAATATTGCAGAATGCACAAACCACCCATGTGCTATAAATATTGTTCCAACCATACCCTTGAACTTTAGGATTGTTACAATCAAATCCAAATTTTTTACATCAATTTTTATCTTTTTAAGTTGAGATGTTGGCTTAGCATGAATCTGAAATCCAAATTTATTCCTAGATTGTTTGTGCATTTTGCAATATTTAAGAGTTTAATTACAACCATTTATTCATTTTTGTTCAAAGATATAAATTCTGGAAAGAGTGAAAAGAAATAGTAAAAAACAATACATAAAGGGAAACAATTAAGAAAGAAAGATAGAAGTGCCCCGATTGGCACAAATGGGGTGATTGGTCAAATTGAAAGTTTGAGGGGTGATTATAACAAACCTTATAGTTAATGGGTGCAGTTTTTTATTTAAATTAGGAGCATTGATAACCCACTTGTCCTTCTAGAACTTATTCACCTTCTCACATTGCCCAAGGAAGGGAGACCTCTCCCAAATCAAGGGTTTCAACTTGGAACTGGAGGATTACAGGCTTTCAGCAGGCCTCTCCCAATTCTCTCTTATGCTCTTGCTCATTATGCATTCTTGTGGGGAATCTTCCTTTCCATAAATGAGTCATTGCCTTTCCTGGAGTTTTTTCTTTTTAGCATGTTTTGTGTATTTAGCATTGGGCTTTGTTAAGTTGTCTACGACTTCCAGATTTGCAGTTAACTCTATCCTTATAATCAACCACTCGCCTCTGCTCTGATATCCACTGACGTAGGTGCTCTGATATCCAGATTTGTGTTCCTTTTGTTTTAAGATTTCTCATCCAGTATTCATTATATGAGAAGTTCTTATGTCTTCAGAAAAGTATTGACTAACTGCAGCATTGATGTGTTGCATCTAAATTATTTTATTAAACTGTAAATTAATTTCATACTTATTTTTAGAACAATTATTCCTTTTGTTTTTTGTGGCAATGATTTTGAATTTCCTGTCATGCATGTCTTATACTTAACAGGGGACAACCTCCAGATTATGTTCTGAAGGAGGCAAAAAATACTAGCAAATTCTTTAAGTTTATTGGGGGTTTCCATAATATTGAAAATGAAATTTCTGCAAGCGATAGAAGCACTTTTCAAGCATTAACAGCAGAAGAATATGAAGCTGTAAGTGTACATTTATTAATTCTGTTATTCTTGTGAAAATATGTTGAGCCAGGGATGTCTTGCTAGACATTTTCCTGTCTGATCAATCTTTTCTGGATGATGCTTAGTGATTTAGATGCTCTGGTTCTTTTTCTAAACTGGTTCATTGTTTTCGTATACTGACTTCCTATTTATATACAAGTTTACAGCATTCCGTTTCAACACTTATATCCAATTGTGGGATTGAATTGCTTGTTTGTTTTCAGAGAGATATGAAAAAGCCTTCAATTGGGAAAGAGTATTTCAATCGAATGAACCTTGAAGCAATTGTGAATAACTACCCTTATAGAAAGAACTTGCCCGAGGAAGATATTAGGAAAGGTAGGCCTCTTTGTTCTTAGTTCCAAAACTCTTCTTTCTTAGAAACTTCTAAATGGGCTACAATGTAATTTGTTAACAGAGCGTCAAGTACGACTAGCCTTAATTGATTTCCTAAAGGGCCTTGTAGAGTTTGACCCTGCAAAAAGGTGGTCACCTTTCCAGGTATTTCATCCTCATAGGAGTTTCAAATTTTGATTTAGCTGACTGAATAGCACATTTTGTAACTAAGAAGCAATAGAAACTTGGATATTGAATCCATATGTGCATGCAGGCCTCCAAACACCCTTTTGTGACGGGGGAGCCCTTCACATGTCCATACGCACCTCCTCCAGAGACCAGACGTTTGGTAAGTGGATTTGTGAAAGATTAGTCCCATTATAAAGCCGTAAGTTCATATTTATACTGAAAAATCTCAAACCATTTTGCTGTTATTGACCTGTTAATGTCTTATCTTAATTGTTATGAAGTTTAATGGGCATATGTAACTACTTTCATTGTGAGAGTAGACAGGAAGGTTGTAACTTGAGTCCTTGACTGATGACAACGAACAGCTTGGAACAGTTACTTTCATTGTAGAGTACCTGCATGATTAATGACTACTGTTTGATTAGTTGTATTATCTTGCTGTAGCCATTCAGTGAATAAAATTATTTTTCGTTAGCACTTTTAATTTGTCACCTCAAAATGCATGCCAAGTTGGATGTGTCTCATGTAATTCATTTACCAAATTTTTTTTGTTCGCTACTGTATTTATTTTACTTTCTAGGTTTTCCTTAGGTTAGCTTATAACATTTGTTGTGTTACAGTTGTTAAGATATCCATAAATGATTAAATTTACTCTAATCAATCAACTTAAGCTTTTGGGTTCATTAGTGATTTAACATGTTTAGGATGGTATGCAAAATCTTGGAGAAGATCATGAGGGTTTTTTTTTTTTTGTGGGAAGGGGTGGATGAGTGCCGCAGGGGGAGTTATCACATTTGGTTAATTGGGATATTGTCCCGAAGCCGATAGAGGCTGGGGTTGGCCGGTTGGGTATTGAAAACTTAAGAATTAGGAATGAGACCTTGTTAGCCAAACGACTGTGGTGTTTTCCCTTGGAGCTTAATGCCTTGTGGTGCAGGATTATTGTAAGCAAATATGGGGCAAATATGGGTCACATCCTTTTGATTGGGCCTTAGTGGTCCTTCTATCTCAGGTAAAAGCCCCTGAAAGGCTATTTCTATTGTCCCTTTCTGTTTGCCCCGCTTCGGAAGGTAAAAGTTCTAAAGAAGATTAAGTTCTTTGCTTGGTGGGTTTTATATGGAAAAGTTAATACCATGGACCGTACTTAGAGACATTCTTGCTTGGTGTTGGTCCTCGATGGTGTGTCTTTTGCAAAAGTGTTTCCAAGGATCTTGATCATATTTGTAAAGCTACCAGTTTGCCTAGTATATTTGGAGGCGGTTCTTGGGAGCTTTTGGGGTGTCCTTGGCTTGTAATAGGGAGTGTAGGGCTATGGTGGAGGTGTTGCTTTGTCCCCCTTTGGGATAGAGGGGCCCTGTTGTGGCTGGCTTTTTTTGCTATTTTATGAGTATTTGGATTGAGAGGAATAGTAGAATTTTTTGGGGTGGAGAGATCTTGGGAGTTTGTTTGAGATTTAGTTAGATTTAACACCTTTTTATAGGTGACAGTTTCTAAAGCCTTTTGTAATCACCGGTTAGGTGCTATTCTTTTGGATTGGGGTCCCTTCTTATAGGTGGATCCTCTTTTGATGGGCTCGTTTTCTGTATACCCCTTGTATATCCTTTCATGTTTCTCAATGAAAGCTCGGTTTCTTATTAAAAAAAAAAAAGTAAATACGAACCTCTATGTTGTCATTTCCCCTCCATTTAATATTAATTTCTACTTGTTGGAGCTTGTGTAAATTTTCAAGCCCACAAGTGAGAGGAGTGTTATTAAGATATCCATAAATGATTAAATTTGTCCTAACTCATCAACTTAAGCTTTTGAGTTCATTGGTGATTTAACATGTTTAAGATATTCTATTTTGGATTACCAGTTATTAGCGAGGTAGGAAATAGCAATCATATAACTTCCCTTTTATTTTTTGCAGCCTGTTTCTCAAAACATAAAGGTGGACGACCATCATCCTGGTGGAGGGCATTGGTTTGCAGCTGGTCTCTCTCCCAATGTGAGACTGCTGTCCCTTTAATGCTATTATTTATTTTTTATGGAGGTCATCACATTACTGATAGAGTAATCGTCATTTTTAAAAGATTTAATTCAAAGCTTTTATGTTATGAAGTAAATATTTTCATTCAGATTGCCGGTAGGAACAGAGTTCTGCAGAGCAGCCCACATTTTCAAATGTTGCCATATGCGCATGCTAACAGTTATGGCAGCGTAGGAAGTCATGGTAGCTACAATGAAAGTATTGGGTTTGGAAACAGCTATGGAAGTTATGGAGATAATGGCATGCTTGCATACTATTCCCCTGTTGGTCCATCTGGAATGAATATGCATCCACAGGGAAGAATATCTGTGCTTGCAAGTAGCCCAGATACTCGGCAGAGGATCTACCAATTATCGCATGGTAATGGGATTGGTGTGAGCCCGTCAACTGGGAACTTTGCACCACTTCCCCTGGGCACGAGTCCATCACAGTTTACTCCACCAAGCACTTACGGTCAAGTTTCAGCGGGCTCTCCTGGACATTATGGGCCAACTTCTCCTGCAAGGGGTAGTTGTCAGGGATCTCCTTTGGGGAAAATGGCTACAGTTAGTCAATTTAATAGAAGGAAATTTTGGGAGTACTCTGGTAATACCCAAACTCATGATGGTTCGTCATCTTCGCATTGGCAAGGGCAATGTACTGAAGGTATAAGTTACAGTCAAGCAGATGGGAACTCTCTACATGGTTGCTCACCGTCTCATCTACCGTTGAATAGCAATGCCACCAGCTGGAAGCAGCAGCAAGTAGGCAGTGGAAGCTCTACTGGATACCCTACCGTTCAGAATATTTCAGGAGCCCACTTGCATGGTTCAAATATGCAATTTTCACAACCAACGGATGTGGCTCGTAATAAGTCTGAATTGCCCAATCCTGGAGATTGGGATCCCAATTACAGGTATGTTAGTCAACTTTCGCATATCTATTCGCTAGTATTCTGTGCATCTATAGCTACATGTTAAATATATTTCCCAATCTTTGGTTAACTTTCGTAACTGAGCAGGGAGCAATCCGATGGATATATTCCCAAGTCCTAACCAATTGAATATTGATTCTTTTTCTCAATTTATGAACTTTTCCTTTCTGGGTTCAGCAGAAAATACTCTTGAAATGAGATAGGAAAAAAAGAATAAGAAGAAAGTTTTCATACTTACAGATTGGAGTCGTTCTGCTGAACTAGTGTTTATGATGTTGAACTACTGACCAGACACTATCTGAATTACCAATTTTACTCGGACATTTATCCTGCTAATTAGGCATAACACCAATATAAGGAATTCGTGATTCCACTATCTAATCAAGTTTTATGCTTTTGCTTTCTAAATCCCATATAGTTCTAGTAGAAGGTACTTGAAAATCTATTTGCTTCTGGACAGCTTTGAGTATCTGATAGGCATCGTTTGTCATAATCAACTAGCTTGGGTGGTTTTTGTATAATTACATTATTTTTAGTTCTCAGCACTTTTCTTCTATTTCATCACATTGATTGACTAAATATTGGTCACCATACTTTTCGTTGACAAGTTGTTGGACTTACGTTGATGTAATGTAAGATAGGACTCCTTTTAGAATTGTACTGCAATATGTTTCCTTAAAGAGTATAACTATTTGATGAGATTTTGAGTTTGATTTTCTGTTTTTTAAAATCATACTCATAATAACAACCACCTTCTATATCTTGTAGTCTACTGAACAACATTTTTAAAAATCTAGCTAAATTTATACAACTAAAATGGTAGTTTTTAAACCTACTTGTTGTTTTCTAAAATTTAAGGCGTGCGAGCTAATTTTCAAAGGTGAAAAGTTTATTGTAGAAATTATTAATTAATAAGCTTAATTTTTACAAACAGAAAGCTAAAATCAAAATCATGATGGGGAGTTTAGAATTTTCTTAAATGAAAGTCGAAGGAACATTCGTCCTAATCTTGTAAAAATGTATGGTGAATATTCACTCACATTCTTAGATACATGCGCGTGTGATTCCATTTACATACTCTCTATTCTGGTCTACCGCATGTTTATAAATGTTTATTACCTATCAGTAAATGTTTTTGAAAATGCAGTAGAATGGAAGAATTTAACAGCATTTTTGTATGTTCATGTTCAACCTGATCATCCTTTTGTCTGAACTTTCTTGCGCAATTTATATATTATAGTGTCTTGGCATTTTGAACCTTTCCAGTGTGTTTTCATCTGCTAGATAATTGGATTTCATTGAACAATATAATTACGCACTGTTACTAGTCTCTGAGAGATTCCTTTTTGAAATTTAGGTGCTTGTTACCAATTATGGCTGTCAGCTTGTCACCTTAGTTTTCTTTTTTATCATCATGGATTGGTTTTATTTTTTTTTATTACAGCATATTGGTTTTATGTGTCAGACATGCAAAAAGGATTGTCCCCCTTTTTTGTATTTATTTTAAATTTTAGACATGTTCAGACACGGGGGGTTGGTTCCTCTGAAAAAAAAAATGAGAAAGTAAAAAAAAAAAATCATTTATATGCTCTGCAGTGACAACCTGTTCACAAGAAAAAAGGCCATGGGAGAATTAATTTATACACTGCAATGGTTGGCCCCATATAAACAAAGTTTAAAGTGAAAGCTTGCTGCAATTGCAACCTTAGTGAAAAAAAGAGACATTCAATAGATCTATCCTTTTATATTTTGTAGTGAAAACACATTTTTTTAATGTTAAACTTATTATATCTATTTTGAAGTTATTTTGAAGTGTTGAATATATTAATGTATACACATGTATTCTAAAAAAAGAAAATAAAAAAACATGTTCCTAATGTTTTTATGTCGCTTTTTTTTTTTAAGAAATTGGCAGGTTGCCATGTTAATGTTGTGTTGTATCCGTGTTCCATGTCTATGCTTCTTAACTATTCATTATTTATCTTTTTGTTCAATCCCTTATGTTGCGGATTGATGCAGTGGTTTAAGAATTGTGCTTAGGTGCATGCTTAGGTGCGCTTTTCAAAAAAGTGAGGCAAGGGCGCCTCACTTCTGCGGAAGTGCAGTGACCTTGTCAACTCTATTTATTTATTTATTCTAATTATTGTTATTAAAAAAATCAATAAATAATTATAAAAATGTTCATGTCTCAATAATCTCCAATAAGACCTCTAATTTTTAATAATTTTCATTATCTTATTATTCATAATACAACATCTTTCATGTTAAACAAATTATTTACATTTTTCTACTGTTGGTCTCTCGATGTTTTTCTTGACTTCACACTTTAAAAACACTAGATTGATGATCTCTACTTAAGTTACCATAAAGTTTGAGTTGTTTATTCAATTAATTTGTATACTAATGATGTCCTTTTATAGTTTCAATGTTCCGTACCTCTTCTCACCTGAATGTACTTGCACGATGCAGATCTTTTGTTTTTTTGGGTTAAGTTTCAATGTGGTATGATTTCTGTTCCTTCAGTGATGAACTGCTCCTCCAAGACGATGATGATTCAGATGCCAGCAGCATTGCAACTGATTTCAGCAGCATGCATGTTGGTTCAGCAAATCCATCAATTGGGATTGGAAGATTTAGTATGCCAAGCGCTAGTTCGAGTTTAACCACACAAAGGTAGGTATCATGTTCTCTTTTACTGCCAAATTTTGTTGAAACGTTCTTACTTAAATTTTGACTGGGTAGTTTGAACATTAAGTGAATAGAACTCGTGTAATAATATTCTATTCCTCCGCTCAAGGCAGTTGCATCGGTTATAATCATATGTATTTTATATTTCTCGTGTATATTGCAAACCAAACAATATGTGCTTATTATATGAATGTTTACAATAAAATGGATATTTTTACCACTGGTGGTTTGTAGATCCCCATTGTTTGTGTGTATTTCTTGTAAATTTCTCTCGATCAGGTGGCATGATTTTCATTTTTTATGGTAGTTCTGATTCTCAACTGTCCCCGGAGTTTCATGCTTTTTATTGTCAGTTTTCCTTACCGTTTTCCATTCGTAATTTTCAGAAAGAATGGACCTGTCCAAGCATTTCCGCATGTAGAGGTGGGTAGCCCGCCCTCAGCTCAAGATTTGCACACTGGATATGCCCGTCCCTCGTCGAAGCATTCCCATCTCATGCCTCATAGTTCACACAATTCCCCTAGCCGCTTGGGGCAGCAACCCGTTCAGCGGTTCAATCAAGGGAGAAGTGCAAATGTTCGCAGTTACGAGTGGAACCCTGTGAAGATCCAACCACCCCTATCCAGCTATAATTCTGGAGGCCCTCGTTCCCCTGGAAGTGGCTCCTTCAGCAGTGGCATGTCATGGGGTACAGATGCTTTCAATACAATATATGACTCTCTTGCCTTTTACATTTGTCCTTTCTTTTTGACTGAACCCCCCCATCCCGAGTAAGTTCTTAGTTTGTGCTACTGATAATATCCATGTTCTTCGATAGGGTATAGAGCAAACCAGCCCGTTACAAGCATTCCTCCCGCATCCCGTGGAAGAAAAGACTATGGAAGAATCTAGTGTTTGAACAACTAGTATTTCATCTCAAGAGAGTTAGCAGGAAAATTGTATTGGTATTTGAATTAGTTCACCTGCTTAGTGGGCTCTTGCCAGAAAAATCTTCATTCAGACTATGTTCATTAATTGTTTGCTTGATAATATGATTTGTGGTCATGCTTTTTCACCCTCCCAGTAACACTGCTTTCAGTTCTCTGTCACTAACTCAATTGCCCTGCAATCCTCATTTATGTTTCCCCGAGAACTGCTAGTCTCGTTCGTTCTGTCTCTTTTACACTAACCCGAATATTCGCTTTGCATGTTTCGAGGAACGTATTCTGATATCCTTTGCTGCTGCTGAGATGATTACCGGGGGATTACAATTATACAAGATTAAATTCACCTCATACCTACACCCCATTGCAGAGGCAATGTTATTTTGTAAACTTTTTCTTCATTTGGTAAAGGTTTTTAGTGTATTATGTTCTTTCTTTTCTCTTTCTCTTTTCCTTTTTCTTTTTGGTTTTCATCAAGGTTCTTTAGTTTTGAAATACATCTGTTTGATATTTTTACTCTTTGGGACGGTCTTCTGAAATAGATATTATTTCACCCGAGGTTTTTGCTTTCTTCTGCGACGTTTTTAGATGCAACTGTTTGTATGATTTATTGGTCGATGTGAATCGTACTTGCATCTTCCTCTTTGTATGATTTATTTGTTTTCAATAATGACATTCTTTAGAATGGCAAAGATTTTGTGGCCATTGGGAACTTTATTTTTTTTGCAAGTTTATCTACTACTTTTTTGTTTTGGGTTAATCAAAAGGTTTTTATGATCTGAAGGACTAATTTCCAAAATCTATGTTTTGGTTTCAGAATTTGACTAAAATGGTTGAAAGTGTTAATAAAAATAGAAAATAAAATAACAAAGTGATTGGAAAAACAAAATTACTTATAGAAATAGAGAGTAAAAAGAACAAATTAATATCAAAGAGACTTTTTATTACTAAATTAAAGAGTATAGAGAGAGAAGTCGTCAATATTAAAAAAGATGAGAAGAATGTCCGCTCAAACAACAAAGTAGGGTGGCAAGACATTTTTGAAAGTCATAGAAGTTGGAAGATGAGATCAAGCCTGAGCCCATGGTGAGAGAAGAGAAGAAAAGAGTTCTACGTTAGGAGAGACAAAGTTAAAAGGAAAGTGAAAATTTAAGTAGATGGCGAAATTTGGCCTCCCACTTAAGAAAATGTTCCTTAGTTTATAATTTTGCAAAAATGGTTAAAGGATAGATTAGAAACTTTACATTTTTAAATGTTCTCCCCACAGTGCCTTTCCTATTTTTAAATGTATTTAACAATGTTTCCTACAGGGATTTTATCTTCATTATTTTAATTCTTTTATTAGTAATTTCACTTAATTTAAACGTATTACAGTGTTATATGGTCTCCATCTTATCCTTCTATCATTCTACTATATCTTCTCTTTTAGCTCATTTTTTCTTTGTAACAATGTTGAATGTAGTAATCACAATTTTATATGGTGGTACGTGGAGTGAAAAAAATGGATACAACAATTTCAACATCTCTTAGATGTTAATTCGAAAGGACTGTACGTTGTCACAACTTATCGAAGGCATTAGGAAGAATATTCATTTAATAGAGGGTGAAAAAGTTTCATGTATATTGTTGGTCAAAAATAATAGTCACAAGTCTCTTATTATAAGACTAGTTGAAGATATGGATATCACATAGTTTTTAACTGTGTTGTCCAATGAGTTGGAGACAGAGTACTGCATTGTCGTTCATACTGTGGATACCCGCATTGACTTCATAGATGGAAGTGGGAAACCATTTCGAACCAATGTAAATTTCAACATCTACCCTAGCTTTGAGAGTTATACTCTCACGGACCCCATGAATGGAGGTGAGACATTAGTACAGATATCCTACCATAAATGCAAGAAACTTATACTAATGGATCCGAGTCGAGTCAAATTCATGGTTTCCCGTCCAACGTTGTATTGAAAAAAAATTGTGCTTTTCTAAGCAAGGAAGAATTGAGCCTTAAAGGGGGCAAAACAGTAAAATCCAACAAAAAAAGTTGGTTTTAAAGTGTCTTGGTACCTCCTTTCTTCTAATTACTTAGATGGCAGAATATGAGATATTAGGAAATATGTGGAGGATATTGATGTTGTAAAGAATGATCATAGGCAGGCAACCTCAATGATGGTCCGTCAGTGTGCGAAAACAATCATGGACATGAAAAGTAATTGTTGTCTTCGGGATATTATTAATTACACTTGAAAGAACCATGATGTTAATATTAGTTATTACAAACCTTGGAGAAGTAAATAGAAAGCATTGGAATCAATTATGGGGTCAGCCGAAGAGTCATATAAATATAAATATATATATATATACAAGGAAATAAATAATGCCCCTAATTAAAAACTTGATTTTCTACCACTACTATTGTTCAACAAATTTCTTCATCTTTTAAGAACAAAAAATGTCTTCCTCTATTAGTCTAGTTTCTTTCTCACCAACATATACCATTGCTAAGCTTTCTTTCTTCAATGCATGTGCATGACTTCTCCTATAAACGACGTGATTTTGACTAAAGCTCTTATCCTCAAATCTATTTCCTCTCCTAATCGACACTATCGACATCATTTTAAATCAGACTAAAATCCTTTGATTTGTTTACGATTCTCTACGATAGGTGTCCACATATAATATATTCAAAACCATGTTACATTTCCACCCTTTTAATGGAAAAACTAATGACATTATTGTTCTTTTCTTAAAAAAAAAAATAATAATAATAAAAAAGATTAAAGGTTAAAATACAACTTTTAAACAACTTTGACATCATTAAAAATATACTCAAATACTCAATAGCATAATAGAAACCTATCATGTGCTACCTTTGCCCATGTGTACCATTAATTTTACGATTCACCTCCGCATTATTTCCTTCTTCATTTTAACAAGAAAAAAGTTGATGGAAGGATAGATTTAAAGTAAAAATAAATCTTTGAATAATAAGAATATAATTAAAACCTATCCTAAAGTTCTCAGCATTTTATATAATTTAACCTTATGTTAATATATAAATGAAAATTTTAAAAATACAATAGAATCTTTGTAAGACTCTGGCAAAATTCGGTATAGTGCTGTAATCTTCTATATATATTGTTTCCATAAGACTTCCCTTACCAATCATAACCCCTTCCATTTTTCAACTCCTTCATTTTCTCTAATATAGTTTGGCATTCATACACACTTCTCAGATATACAACATATAAATTTGATCAACATAACGGTTATTCTAACATAATCAAGAGAATTCAACATACAGAACCTGCAGAACTGCATATTCCACAGTGTTCCAACTCCGTGGGCACCAGGACGAGAGTGAACCTCGTGAACAAGAAAACAGTGAACTGGGATTGTCTGAATTGAATAACATTTTAAATAAACCAAGAAACCAAATGCTATAGCTTTTCATGTTCACATACTCATTATCTAATCTTCCTCCTCATTCTATGTAGTTCAATCCACAGACATCTTAGCCACACATTAAACCAAGTTAGAAACTTAAAAACATTTGAGCTGATATAGCAACAAACCTAGGAAAGGAAGAAAGTGACCAACTTTTGCTATACAATTACTCATTAGAGGTCTGCAAAACACATTACTGACAAGTAAATAACTTGAGAGCCAACATCAGCAAACATTTGAGCACATTCATATCATAGGAAAAGAGGGCATCATCATTTCAGCCAGAGGCTGAACATTTTGTTCAAAAGCACAGGCTTCATACATTAACCAAACATAACACAGACAGCATAGTGGCGTTCAAACTCGGCCATCCCACAAGCACTCTAACTGCACTTCGCCAGCCTTTAAGAGTGTCTCAATGTCTTTTGGAGGGTTCAAACCAAACTTACGAGCACGCTCCCACCGTTCCATTCTAGTCATTCCAAGGCAAGGACCATAGGCACTGTTCATATCAAATTGCCTCAGCATATTCTCAGACTCGCTGTAATCATCTAAAACAAAATTCAAAATGAAACAAACTGCAGTTATAAAAATTGATGAAGCAAAAAGTATGTGTGTTTACAAACATCCCAATAGTATAGCCATATAAAGCATCCAAACACATCAGTACACAGTAAAAAGTTAAATAAATCTAAAAATTTGAAGCCCTTAATCCAACTATTGAAGAACTATATTGTAATTGATACCCAACATCTTCTCGAGTGCAACGTGCTTAATCCTTCATAATCACAAGGCATAAGCATAAACATATTAATTGGAGTTATTTTACAGTCGAAAGATTAAGAAATCCAAACTATTGATGTACTTAATTCAACTATTTCATAATTGATACCCAACAACTTCTTGAGTGGAACGTGCATAATCCTTCATAATCACAAGGCATAAGTCTAAACATATTAATTGGATAGCATTCCACAGTCGAAAGATCAATAAAACCAAACAATGTACGTCCTTAATTCAAGTATTGAACTGAATTTGACACCCAAGAACTTCCCGACTGAAACGTGCTTAATCAATCATATTCACAAAGCATAAGTCTGAACAAAATTAAACGGATAAAAAAATTTCAGTCGAAAAGTTAAAAAACCCTAACACCGGATGGCCTCCTAATAGCAAGAACATCCGGAATCTTCTGGACTAAGAAACGTGCTGAAACGCCATAATCACGAGGCATAAGTCCATAGGGTTATTTACAGAAACAAGGGTAATTATAGTTTAAAGAGACCTAACCTAACGAAGAAACGAGAGCCGGCGGGTGAACGGCGTCGGAGGCGGAAGCGGCAGCGTTGGCCGGAGATTTGGTCTTCCGGGAAGAGGGCTTGGGCTTGGGCTTAGAGATTCCGCCCTTTTTCGTTTGCTTGTAGAAATCCTTCATCCCTCCTCGCGCCGATGTCGCCATCTCTGATTTTCAAAATTTTGAATTTGTTCTTCTCGATCTGAACTCAACTCTTCCTTTTATATTGAGCCTAATGTTATCTGGGCCGGGGCACAATCGGGTTATCGGCCCATGTTTCTTTTTTAGTTTTCAAAATTCGTACAAATATCACATTTATATATATAGATAATGTTTTGTTTTAGAAACTTATTTACATTTTAATTTTTTTTTAATTTTACACTTTTAGATTTCTTTAGGTAGGATTTTATTTTAATTTCAATTTCATCATTATTTATTGCATTTAATTTATTATAGTTATTTGTTTTTTTCTTTATATATAAAAAATTTAATTCCATAAATTATTATTATAATCATTTAATTGTGGCCCATACTAATTTTCAACAAAAACATCTTTTGAAGTCTCAATAAACATATATCCACATACTCAAAAAATATATTCAAAATCACAGTATATATCCACTTATATAATTGCATATATACATTCAAAATCACTATATAGTATATATCCGCATATCTGCATATATACAAGTTGAGTTATAAGATATATCCTAATCAAAGCACTATAATATATATCCTCATATATACAATATTTCACACGAAATCAGAAATGGAAAACGACCGTTGGAATGCAAACCTTTCAATCGGGAGATGAACTGCTCTGGTAACTGAGAAAAATGGAGGCGGTTGGAGATGAAGGCAGGCAAACGTCGGTCGAAGACGAAGGCATGCAAAAACGACCGAAGAAGAATCGACGAAAATCTCCTCTCGAAGGGGATAAACGCAGACGAAATGCTTTTGCAACAGAGAAAAACGGAGCTGGTCGGAGAGGAAGGCAGACAGCGACGGACGGTCGAAGGAAGAAAAGAAAAATGGTCGGAAGAAAAAGAAAGGGGTGAGTTTCGAAAATGGATGGTTTTTTGGGGTTTTGAGACTTTTTAATTTTGGAAAGTATCGTTAGCACATTTTAAAGGGTTTTACCTCCCAATTTACCAATTTTAGATTTTAATAATTATTTAATATTGAGATAGATCAAAGAATATACTAGTAGTTGTTTCATGACAAAAGCGTAAATTCTATACGTTTTAATCATTTTACGATTTCTAAATAGACCATCTATGTACTAATCTGTTTTTTTTGGTAACATACCTGAAAATGAATCTTAATTTAAACAATAAACTACTAATAGTTACCGATCAATTATGTAGTTGGATCTAAAACAGTATTACTTTATTAATTAATATATATGTTATAAATTTTGGATAATTATTATTTTGCAATATTATATAATTTATAAGTATATTAAAAAAAATTATATAATTTATAATATGTTTATTTTACCTATTTTAATTTTAACAAAAATGAAATGAGTCGATAATATGAAATATGAAAGAGTTTATTTATCAATGTTTTATCATTTTCAATATAATTCTACATGCTGAAAAATCATAATTTCCATTATTTGGATGAAACGTAATTTGGATCGCATACCAAGCAAGCCTAATCTTTAATAGTTGTCCAGTGAGTCTCCAAATTTTAAAAATTCTTAAATCTCAATTTTGTATCTAATACGTCAATTATCTATAAGGTTTTTTTTTTTAATTTAAAGACTTATTAGACACAAATTTTTTTTTGACATATACTTAAATTATTAAAAAGTGTTTAATGTGTCTACCAAACTTATTATAGAGAAAATCAAGAATCTATTAGAAACTACTGTAAAGCATCAAAATTTAACCTGAAAAAATATAGTTTACTTTTTGTTTTGGTTTTGAATTCTTTTATATTTTTAACGTAAGCTTCTTTTTTTTTATGTAAAATTATATGAATGTATGTGTGTGTGTGTATATATAAAATAATGTTTAAATTCTAATTTAGTATTTGAATTTTCAAATTTGCTTTATTTTTGTTTTAATTTCTGAATTCGGAAAATAAATATTTCAATTAGAAGCTTGGACATTTCTACCCACGAAAGAAAATTAAAACCCTAAAAAATGAAAACAAATAAAAATAGTGGATTTTCATAGAAGCATGAAACATGACCTAGTGGCATGAAAACAGCAGCACAATTTCTTCCTTTTTGATTTAAAAAAAAAAACCAAAAGGATTCTACACTCGTTTTTTTGGAGGGAAATATACAAAATTTAAAATATTTAGAAAAGACAAAATTTTAATATCATTACTTTAACTAACCATAAATAATTTTAAAAAATAATGACAACAAAATATGATCAATAATTTAAATGCTCGTCATTGTCGTATGCATTATTCATTCAACACTTAAAAAAAAAATTGAAAAGGAATGAGTAGAACCAAAGGCAAGTTAGAAAAATGTTAGAAGTCTTAATTCCGAGACGTGGCCTGCCCCTAGGTTTGATTTTTAAAATATTTTTTAATTATAAACTAAACATCATATTATAAGTTGGTTCATGTCCTTCCAACTTTAGTTATTTTAGTATTTTTAAAATATTCGTTTTAATCTATATTCTTTCAAAAAGTTATCATTTTGATACATATTGACAAAATTTTAAATAAATTCTACAAAACATTTTAATATAAAGCAATGGTTAGACTTCAAGAAATATATCGAGGATAATGCGGCGTCGTAATTGTGATAAAAAAAAATAGAGATTAAAAATAAAATTAAGGGATCAAAATGATCACTTTTAAAATACCCAAACTAACCTTTTGAAGATAAAATTAAAATGAACCAAAATTGAAAAATAAATATTTTGAAAGTACATAATTAAAATGAACCAAATGTAAAAATAAACAGACCAAAATAATATTATAGTCGAGATTAAACTATCTATCTTTGACATAGTAATCGAGGAAATTGGAACTTACGACGAAGTAGGCTAGGAGTTCTTGTTTCTCCTCTGTAACTTTTTTTTTTATCATTTAATAAATTCACACCATGAAAAGTGCCTTCTGCCCTAGATTTACATGCTTAATTCCTGGTGTTTCAGGATCACAACTTTTAACTTTCTACCATAATGCAAAATAATGTACAATACCAAACTCACTTTCTTCCACCATATTCAACAAACTATATCATTCATGGGAGAAGCTGTGACAAAATCCTCTCCTTGAATGAACAACACTTTGGGGGAGATCTTCATCTTCTCCCCTGGCCCCGAAAAAAAGGGGAAAAATCGTTAACGACCACGGTTCTGATTCAATGTTCAAAACCTTCTTATGAAATAAACACGGGCTAAATACAATGGCATTGTGCAGTTGTTGTCGTTGTTGTCGTCGTCATTGCTAGCTCACACTTCGAGTACTGGACTCCTGGATGTAACCCTTCCTCTCAATCTCGACTCTTCGATTTTTGCAGTCACCTCAGCTATAACAAGCCTTGTCAAAAACAGCCCTGCTATTAGAGCTGAAGCCATCAGCATAATGAACACCGAACTCCAGCTTTTAGCTGATAAATATCCGGTTAACAATGGTCCAATCGCAGCCCCAACTGAGCCAGTACCGTCGATGATTGCTGTCACAGTAGCAAGTGCTCTAGAGTTCCCTTCCAGTGAACTGTGGGTTCCCAAATCAGCAGAGACAGCCGTTGTTATAAGAGCATATGGC